TGTCTTGCAAATTCTCTCTGCATATAGTGAGGCTGATTCAGTCACTACTCCTGCTCTACCACACTCCATGGTTATCATAAAACTATTAGACATCGGGACCAAGAATAATTATCTGAACACTTATGAGAAAGCACATATTGAATGTGTAAATTGGTGATTTTTCCAATAAACTAGTGCTAAAGGTTAAAATTTGAGCCAGATATATTTTAAAAATAAGGCCATTCTTTCATGTTGGTGGAATGGTTAGGTGGGTGCCAATATGGTAAGATTTAAAGGTTAGAATTAGGCAGAATGTATTTTCCTACTCTGGTGCCTTAAATGCTAGTGATTCATTTGGTGTTTTCCACTGACCAGACACAACTTTAGGAAAGTCCCTTGTATTCCAGTATATTGTTTTTCCTTAACAGTAAAATTAGAAGCTGATGGGACTGAATTCAATTCCATAAACATTTAATTGAGTACTCTATATAAGGTACTATATTATCATGTAATAAGTGATGATTGCTCCTAATGGAAGCTAGACAAATGTCTAACTAACATGGTTTATCCCAGAACAAACTGGTATAAACTAGAATACAACACAATGAAGGTCCATATTGGCTTTCAAAATATATGTCAGATGGGCAGGAAAGAAGCTTAGTAGCAGAGCACGTGCTCAGCATATGTGAGGCTTGGGGTCCCCAGAACCACACACACAAACTCTGTTCAATAATTGAATTAGTCCAGTGCACTAAGACCCCAGGGAGGTGGATGCAGGCCCTGTCCAGTTCTATAATTCAGTGATTTTTGAATTGACTCCCCCTTAAGAGAGTTTCTTTGTGTAATATTACTTAGACATGTGAATATTCCTAAGGTGCAACTTATTAGATATGTTTTTTTTTCTCTCTCAAGTAAATTTCTCAGGTCAGTTCACACTGGCTGTCATGTCAATTTCAGAAAACTGGAGAACAGAAGGTTTCTTGATAGCAGGTCAGAGTTGACAAGAGAGGAAGAAAATGGTGTTCCGAAAAGGTGGATGCAGATAGGCAGGACTGTATTTACTTGCCAAATGTGCTATGCTTGTTCGTTTGGTTGTACACAACTGAACCTCCAGTTGCTGGGAGTTTTGTTTCTCAAATACTGCAAGTGGTTTGAAAGTTTGTTCAAAGCCACATCAAGTTTGGAATAATGAAGTTGAAGCTGAAATTAGTTGGACAACTTTCATCCATAAACTGGAACTA